CCCCCTTAGCTTAAGGTCTAGATCCGCCACTGACCTAGCAGATATCTTATACTTAAGCAAAATGACTGAGTCTGTTTGCAAGACATGACTACCATTCATTATCTAGCCAAAAGTGCCCCTCTTGCTCCTACTGTTGACACTTCTGCTGTAAAAAGCAGGATCCCATAGTTTTCTAGCAGATGATGAATTTTTCATTTCTGATTTTAGGTTTGCTGCGAGACTCGAGCACCTTCTCATTGAGTGGAAGTTAGATGGCTCAAACAGAAAGTCAGCTTCCTCAAAAGTATCGTAACAAAACCTTTTAATGCGTGATTAACTAGTTTACTATTTTTGTCTATAGTTTCTGAAACGATTTTATGTCTTAAAAGTTGATATACTCAAATAACTTGCTGGCAAACAGAAAACATTGTTGCAATTCTTAATCCACGCTAGGGTTTTATATAATTTTTAAATTATCAAAAGAATTGGCATGACTCCGCCCAGTGCAAGAATGTAATAATTTTCTCACAACTTGCTGCCAATAGAATGCAGTGTCTTGGAGTCTATGAAAGTATTACAAACAGGGCAGGAAAAACATTATGAAATCCAGTTGCCCAGTGGACCAGGACATTTCAGTTTTCAATTCAAATAGGCACGCAGTAATCATGCCTTATCAACTACATCATTTAGTAAGTACTGTCTATAATCAGTGATAGGCTATAACAAATTAAGCTTACTGGTGCCAAACTGGGTGAAAGATACTGCACAGTGACACAAATGACTGTTGTGTCAGATACCTGAAAACTACCAGTATTACAGCACCAGTAGTTACTTGGAAATAGTCACCAACAAGACCACTGACAGGCTTATTTCACTTGTCCACCGGACCACCAAACGTCCATCTTCACTTGTCTAAGAGCAAAATCTACTTGCCCCAGACAATTGGACTTGGGTTTTTTCCTGCCCTGAATTGATTGAAATTTTGCTCTCTGATTTTCAAACAAGGATCTTTTAACCCTCTCACTCCCAGGAATGCCATGTGACACAAAATGCCATTGTAGTCATGCTCAATATCTGGTCAATTTTTATCAAATTTGAACTGCAAAAAGTTCTTGGACAAATCTGTCGTTTGAAAGCATAAAATCATACCCCCTCCTATATGAGACTTGTTGCAAATTGTGCAACTTTTTCCTCTTAGGAATATCTTACTTGAGAGCTGCATATTAAGCTATAGTTTAGGTGTATTACTAAACTAAACAAGGAGTGAGATATTTTTTAACATTTTTTGTTTTTCGCTTTGAATGCTTTTCAATTCAAACTGAGTCTTCCTCTATGGCTATTAGTGTGATGTTTGGTATCCCACAAATAATATCTTTCAAACAGTATATACTATGTGGGACCCTTGAGTCTATAGTTACCATTTTACAAAATATGTGGTTTTCCCCATGGGAGTGAAAGGGTTAGTTGACATTGTCTTGACAAGTCCTGGGCTTTTCCATTTGTCACACCTCATAGCAGTACTCCTCTTCTTGGTGTACTATGAAACTGGTATCTTAGCTCTGATGGTGTTAGCCACGTTGGTTCAGGGCAAGCACAAACTATGTGATTGAACCATTTATTCTTTTTTGCTTTTCTCTACTAGGGAAAAGGAATATTTGGGAATTTTGAAAAGAGCAAACTGGATCCTATTCCAAACAGAAAGGACAATGTAAGTCTTGAAGGCCTTGTCGGATGAACACATTTTGTCAGTTAATTATATATGTATATTTTCGAAAACACAAAACTTGCAGGGCTGTAGCAGCCATATACGCACATACACATGTGCATACCTCCAGAAATCCAGATCTCGTCTCCTATAAACCTAATCTCAATTATCCCAAAGGTTGACATAGCAGTATAAGCAACATACGTTTTTCCATGTTTTGATTTATGAAAATATTCTCTGGAAAACCTGAGAAGTGGCATTTCATAGCCCCTAGGAATAAAAGTGTCCTGAAAACATGCCCCCACACCCCGCTAGTGGCTTGCAACTTAGTCGCTTGATTCACTTTCTCTGTGGTGCCTCGCTCTGTAAAAAGTGCACCCTAAGCCCCTGGCTGGTTTGCATTGTTGAGTTAATTGCCAAGTTGTAACCCATGAAGAAGTAGGCAGCAGTGATGTAAGTTATAAAGTTCTCACTGGTGTTAAAATCATTTATTTAAGTATTACTCATAAATTTTAAAGTTCTAAAAAAGGAGTTTGAAACAGATAAAAAAAAACATTAAAACTGAATTTTCCACTGCCATCTGCAGTCTTCTTCAGAGAAATGCACTCTGCATGGGCACAGATTGCTCCAACAGTTTTATTTACTCAAAAAGTTTGCTTGTAATAATTACAGCAATGGTAACTTGATATGGACAGTACTCACCATTTGATACTGACTTTCAGAAATACCTCCCCACCCCTATTTAAGTGTCCTGCATATTTTTTTGAAATGATTTGTTGATAATAGGATTCTTTATTGAGCAACTATTTTTTTCTTGTTTTCGTTCCCATCGTAGGAAAGAGAAGGAATTTGGGGTGTAATCTCTGATAGAGTAGCCTTTGGTAATTTTAATTTTGTTGTGGCGTACCATCATCTGAGGACAAGAAAGAAGCCTGCAAGGAATACTACCAAGCAAACAGAAGGTGTGCACCTCAACAACAACAACAACAATACCAACAACAACAACAACAACATACTTTGTTTCTCACAGATTGCATTTATAAATTTAATTTAATTTACTACTTTTTAATGTTCAAGATATATGTTGGGCAGAATTTATAAGAAGCACAGAATCAAAAGCATAGATAAGAGTATTATTGGGAACTGCTAAATATTTGCACAATAATATGGAAAAGAGAGGCTACCTCTGTTAAAAAAGTTACTGCCAATTACTGTTTTACAACTGAATTCTCCTCTCTCAAAACAGTTATTCAACTGTTATTTCTTGACAATGGAAATTGGTGAGCAATGTTATCCAATTTTGCCAGGTTTAGAGGATGGTTTGCCTGACGGAATGATGGAAATGTTTGACATGGAATTCGATTTTCCACCACGGACACACTGTCTAAGTAGATGGTGAGTTAAAAAAGACCTCAAATTATATTGCTTGTGCAGGATTCCAAAAATCAACTTGAATTCCAGCTTGCTCTTTGGACTTTCAGCTCTCAAAGTTTGCTTGCCCTGGGCAAGTTTTAGTTTACAAAATTAATTTTCTTTTTAAATTGGTTGGCAGACCACTTGCCTGGGCCCTTGCCCTTGCCCAATGGACAAGTAAGAATAAAAAGTTACTTGCCTGGTGGCAGGAAAATCTGCTTGTCTTGGGTGGTTGGACGGCACTGTTTTTCGAGTCCTCCTTACAAGTACAGTGTAAATTATCGGCAAAGGTGCAACATAGCCAGCTGTAATTGTAACATGCAGAAGATGAGAAGACTCTGTGGTAAACATTTGTTAGGCTAGATTCGAAAATGTATGATTGAGAAAGTTAATCATTCTATATGCAGCTAATCTTTAATCAGTGATAAATCAATAAGGTTGTGTACCTGACTGGGGCTCCAGTCGGTATTCTGTTATGAATCGGCATCTTTAATTGAAGGGGTGCATCCAAAAAGAGATCCAGTGACTCTTGGTCTCTTGTCAAATTCTCCTTTTTTTTTGTAGAAGGAAGGGGAAAGCAATTTGTTAGGAGAATCTTGCTGCCTATCAGATGTCACTTAGGCTCTTTTTCCATGTATCCCTTCAATTTTAGTAGCTTTCAAAAATCACCCTTATGGACTTTTCTGTCCAGTGATGAGTGTTGTACCAGGGTAGCCACATAATTCAAATTTCAGTTATTGAAAGCACTGCAAATTAAGAACTTTTTGGCTTTCAAGAATTTAACTTGCTATAAACAGGGTTCGTATGGGTCCTGGAAAACCTGGAAGGTCCTGGAATTTTACTGTGGCATTTTCCAAGACTGGAAAGTCCTGGTAAAGGGCTACTGGTCCTGGAAAGTTCTCGAAATCTATTAAACTCAAGTAAAAAATATGAAAGGCATGAAAGACAGTAAGGAGAATTAACATTGAGATCTTGTTAATGAAAGGGTTAATGTGAATTATAGAGTTCTGCAAAAATCAATCTGAGTCCTGGAAAAGTCCTGGAAATTTGTTTCTGAAAAAGGTATAAACCCTGTATATATTCAAAGATGCTGCTCCCATGAAGTACTCTCTTTTAATACTATCATTGAGAGTTAGAGCTGAGCTGACAAATGAAATTATTTTTGCTTTAATAGGTATGGTGTAAAGGAATTTCTTGTTATTCATCCAGCTGAGGATACTGAAGCTGTCGATAGTGAATCCAAGTGTCATCTTCTTCTTAGTTCCATTGGGATTGCTGCCACTAACTCCAAATGGTATGCAAGTTCAATATACCAGTATAGTGAAAAAAGCTTTGCGGTCGTCCGATTTTGTTAATCACTCGTATGATAACAGACCGAATTGGACTCCACTCAGTCCTATTACCATTATTAATTATAATTATACTTGAATACATATTCAGCAACAAATCACTAATATTTTCACTTTGCAGCACAGTTCCCATGTTTGCCCAAGTTCTTCAGCGATGGAGAAAGATTTACATTGGACTCTGTATTGGAGGCGGATTTCGCACAGTATTTGAGATTTCTCACCTGCGTCATGTCCCTGCTCAATACAGACATTTAGCTGGACTTCTTGAAATCTTCAAGGACAAATTGGTAGGTTCACCTTCTAAACGTGGGTGGTCAAGATACATTTAGCTAGATATTATAGTGGCTGAAATCTTTTTCTGTGTGTGTTAAGGGACTGAAAAGCAGTCAAGGTCCATAAACACACACACAAAAATGATTGAGGCCGATATCCAGCCGTCTAATAGACTTAACAAGCTTGGTCAATAAAGGATTTTTTATATGGCATACAAGGCCCCATTTTCTTATGGGATACAACAGGGAATCTCGATTGGGCAAGATAACTGCTTGAATAACCATGCGATCACAGTACACGATTTGGTATCTGATATTTGCCCACAGAGCTATCCATATAATGGCATTATATCAATAGGCAAGTAGTTGATATAATTAATAGATATGGCACACCTCTCTGTAACTATTGGAGAAGTGTTTTTAGAAACCCACATCTCTTAGGATAGAGATTCATTTTAGAATAAATATTACCACTTGAAAATTGTATTAAATGTTTTTCTTCTAGGCGTGTCCAATTTCTCCTGTCCCGCCTGTCACATTAACTGTTCGTTTTACTTACATACTGGATGAGTGGACAGATTATGCCTGGCCACAAGAGCCCTCTGATATGTCTTCAAGTTTGGACTGTAAAGTCGGAGTAAACAACCCGGGAACTTTACCTTTTGGGGCATGTCAAGATCCAATAAGGTAAGCTTAGCGAAATCTGGGGAGACACTCTATAAATCTTTGGGTAGGGGTGTTCTGCTGGGACATTGTAACCCTTTTTACCTCATGGTATGCA